GCAGTATTGACTAAAGTCTGACTCACAGTAGGCCCAGTGGGTCCATGAACTCATCCTGTGGTTATTTCTCTGGTCCTACAATGTCTAATTGGGATAGATAGAAGTTGGCAGAATTCTCACGTTGGTTCCCTGACCTGTACAGTAAGGGCTTTTACGGTTGGAAAGGCTAAATGAAACACTTCAGAGTTTCCTCTCTCAAGGAAAACAGCAAATTAATACCACAAAGGACTTGAAAGGTTGTGATTGTGTGTGTGTGTGTGTATGTGTGTGTGTGTGTGTGTGTGTGTGTGTGCACGCGCGCATACACACACATATGCAGGGGTGGGATGGTTCCCACAACATCTCCCTTTAACTCTCCTATCTGGCCAGTGCAGAAAGACAGATGGGTCACAGAGATTGACAGTTGACTACCAAAACCTCAATTAAGTAGTGACTCTGACTGCAGCTGCCATACCAGATGTGGTTGGTGTCCATAGGTGAACATATTAACACACCTCGTGGTACATGGCGGCGCAGCTATTGATCTAGCAAATGCCTTTTTCCCAGTACCTGTCCACAAGGACCACCAGAAGCAGTTTGCTTTCAGGTGGCAAGGCCAGCGGTGCGTGCCTTCACGGTTCTACCTCAAAGATGTAGTATCTTCCCAGCCCTGTGCCATAACTTACTTGGTAGGGATCTTGATCGTCTGTCTCTCCCACAAAATATCACATTGCTTCCCTATATTGATGACATTTTGCTGATTGGAACAAGGAAGTAGGGGGTAGCAACCACTTGGAACTTGTTGGTAACACGTATACGAATCCGAAGAAGGAAAATAAATTCCAGCCAAAATTCAAGGGCCTTCTACCTCAGTGAAATCCTCAGGAGTCTGTTGTAGAATGTTATTTTAACTATGTAAAGATGAATTGTTTGTACTTTCTATGATGCATTTGTTTAGCTATGGAAAGATGTGCTGCATTTGTTTTCATCTTGACTGCCTGAGGCACCAGGATTGTTCTGATAAAGAACTGAGCAGCCAATAGGAAGGCAGGGTTGGTGGGCAGAGAGGATAAAAAGGAGGAGAAATCTGGGCTCAAGAGGAGGATGAGGGAAGGAGGAAGAGGAGAGAATGAGAGAGATGCCTGGGGTTGGAAGTCAGGCAGCCGCCAGGCGACAGATATGAGAAGCAGTGAAAGTAAGATATATACAGAAGGAAGGAAAAGCAAAAAGCCCCAGGCAAAAGGTAGGTAAAGAGAAACAGGTTAGTTTACGTTTAAAAAGCTAGCCAGAAATGAGCCTAAGCTAAGGCTGAGCATTCAAAACTTATAATAAGTCTCCCTGCTATGATTTGGGAGCTGGTTGGCAATCTAAAAGATAATCTACAGGATCCCAGGGGTGTGGAGCAGGCAGAGATATTCCCAATTAGGTGAAGGATAAGTTACTGTACCTGGCTCTTCCTACCACCAAGAAAGATGGACAGTGTTTAGTGAGAGAATGACATTGGAGATACGAATGCATGTCAGGTTAATAACAGGTGGGCTTAGGATGGCTATTCTTAGTTGTCAACTTGACTACATGTGGAATTAACTAAAACCCAAAAGACTGGGCCCTCCAATGAGAGATTTCTTTCCTTCTAATCTGGATCTTGAAGCAGGAAGATCCACCTTCAATCTGGGCCACCCCTTCTGCTGGCAGCCAAGGAAGACAAGAAGGAAACTCTCTCTTTTCCTGTTTGCTCTCACCCTCGCTAGGAAGTCATTTGAGCCTACTGATTTGGGATTCCAACATCTACTGAAGGCCAGCTGAGACATCCACCTTCACGGACTGAACAGCTACCGCTCACTCTTAAAAAGCCATTGTTGGGTTAGCTGGACCACAGCCTGTAAGTCATCACAATTATCTCCTTTCTGCATATAGAGAGACACTGATTATGTAAGTTCTGTTTTACTCTAGATAACCCTGACTAGCATATGTATAATACAAAAAGAAAAAAAACTAGAACAAAGTTAGCTTAAATTTTTTAATTGGCTTTCATTTGCAATTTCTGAGTTGTGGTAGTTGTGAAATATCACACTTGTTCCAAGTTTATCCTCATGATTATGCTTTTGTATCTATGTACAGCTTTTATGTACATGATTACAAACAGCTTTAAAAGTGTCTGAACACACATACAGACATGTAAAAGTTAGGGCTCTTCTCTGAACATTCGTGATTCCCTGTTGGATGACTAAGACACTGATGATTTTAATTCTTCCCTCCCCCCACAAACAAAACATGCATCTTTTGGTGCTAGAAAAAAAAAGCAAGTGTGCTTTGAAAAACCATTGCGATGGCCTAGAAAAGAAATAACTGCCATATTTAATATCATAGAAATGTTATTTACTAAAACTTGCATTTGTGCAGTAAAGAGAAATATTCAACTGTAACAGAAGTAGATTCTCAAAATACACGTGTGCAAATTTGTTTCGTGTTCTCAACCCCCTCTGCGCTTACTCCTGACCGCTCTTCAGATCAACTCTGTGCACCTCTAGACAGACTTCAGTCTTCAGAAGAAAACAGACCTCCCTCAGAGACAGACTGGGTCAGATGCAAACGTGCGTACGTGCAGAAACAGCAATAAAACTTAGGCATGCATGTTTTCTCTCTTGCAGAGCAGAAAATAAACCACAGTGGAGCATTGACCATCATTTCACTTCCTGGGGCTGAAGCCCTGTGTTTAGTGAGATGATCTTCTGAAAGGCCGAAGGGTCAACAACCCTCTGTAGCCATAGAATTTTCTTCTCAGGGAGCTTTGGAATCTGAGGCCAACATGTCTTTCTTCCCACGGACAGCCTTGGCCACGGCACAGCTAGATAAGGGGGCTCGGGCCAGGCTCTCTGGAGACTGGGTAAATGAGACCCAGGCTGGCTCCTATGTTGTTATCTGGTCACACAGGTGTCTCAAGGTCTTTCTTTCTCTCACCTGAACTTTGGTATCACAAAGCTGCCAGAACCAAGCAAGGTGTTGCATAAGGGAAGCTTTACCTCCTCTGCAAACAGAGCGATTTGGTTAGAAACTTCATGATAGACCAGAATAGGCATTGGTTCCTATAGAGCATAACTATATTCTCAATGTAAAGTAAAGAGTAAACGCTGTGGAGAGGCAGACCTTCAACCCTTAGCCGCTTTGGGGAAGGTTTGTGCTTTCAGTTTGGGCTTTTCGTTTAATTGAGCAAATGACTATTAAGAGAATTCAAAGTTGTTTGCTGTTGTTGGTGTAGGCAGTGGTTACTGCAGCCATTGTACAAAACACATTTCTTTCCGGGTTCATTCTCTCTTGGTTTGCTCGTTTATTCAACAGTAACTTGAGGGCCTGTCATGCAGCAGGCACTCAGCTACGTGCTCAGCTGTGTCAAAGTGTTCCAGAAAATTCCACCCTTCTGTCTGTGTGGCCTGGGACCTGGTGTGATAGGTCTTAAGTGAGGAACATGCTAAGGGGAGGCCTGTTCAAGGTGGCGGCCTGAGTCCTGAGGAAGAAGGGCGCAGGCCAAGGGGAGGGCTGGCCAGGGATGTGCCAATGCTTCCATCACAGAATTCTCTCCCTGCACCTTGTTTTCATGTGTCCTTTGCCAAACTTTCAACACACACACACACACACACATGCACACACACACAAACATACTCACACGCATGCATGCATGCACACACACACACACATACACGCACACCTTTAAATTTTATTTTAGGGCCTGCAGAGATGGCTCAGATCTTAAGAGTATTGGCTGTTCTTCCAGGGGACCCAGGTTTAGTTCCAACACCTATATGGTGGCTATCAGCAATCTCTAAGTTTCAGATGATCTGATGCTCTTCTTCAGACTCCACAGACACTGCATGCATGCGGTCAAAACACCCATACACATAAAATAAAAATAAACAAAGCCTAAGAGAAGTTTAATTTGGTTCTAGCCAACCTGTCACAAACTGAAAACACCCCCAAGACATTTTCTATCAGATTTCTTCTTAGCATAAGAACAATTTTCCCAAAGCTTTCTATTTCTTTTCTCTTTGACTTAGTCACTCTTCTATTGCTATGGAGAGACACCATGACCATGGCAACTTTTAGGACGAATTTAACTGGAGTGGCTCACAGTTTCAGAGGTATAGTCCCTTATCATCACAGCAGGGAGCAGAGCAGCATGCGGGGAGACATGGAACTGGAGAAGTAGCTGAGCAATCCATTCTGATCCACTGACAGAGAGAGAGAGAGAGAGAGAGAGAGAGAGAGAGAGAGAGAGAGAAGAAAGGGGAGAGAGAGAGGGAGAGAGAGGAGGATAAAGAGGACAGAGAGAGAGGGAGAGAAAGAGGGAGAGAGAGGAGAGAGGAGGAGAAAGAGGAGAGAGAGAGGAGAGAGGGGAGAGAGAGGAGAAGAAGAGAGAGAGAGAGAGAGAGAGAAGAAAGGGGAGAGAGAGAGGATAGAGAGAGGAGGATAAAGAGGACAGAGAGAGAGGGAGAGAAAGAGGAGAGAGAGAGGAGAGAGGGGAGAGAGAGGAGAGAGGGAAAGAGGAGAGAGAGAGGAGAGAGAGAGAGAGGAGAAGAAAGAAGAGAGAGAGAGAGAGAGAGAGAGAGAGAGAGAGAGAGAGAGAGAGAGAGAGAGAGAGAGAGAGAGAGAGACTGGACCTGGCAGGAGCTTTTGAATCCTCAAAGGGGGGCGTGAGTGGCGGGAAAGACAGAACAACACATGGGATGCTGGAGTAGAAGCTGGAGGTGGAGTGAAGTGGGGGAGGGGGAGGGGAGGACAGGAGCTACCCAAACAAAGCACATATGTAAGTAAAGTAGTCAGCTAGTCTTTAAATATAATTAATTCTTTTTTTAAAAAAGACAAGTGATTCTGGGTGGTACACAAGCGTTGCCCGTCGAGAACATTCCAAATCTGGCACTTTCTCAGTCTTCCTACAAACACCAGCTTGGAACACAACCTGCTCTACCAACCCGGGCTTATCTGCGATTAAAATTAGAAATAACGTCCTTGGAGCCTCTCCCTCCTCGTGCCATTTTTCCATGACACCGCGTGGAAAGATAAGGCTCGCCTATAAAAACACATCTCAGGTGGTTCCCTTGTCCGTGGAACCTGACGGATCCGCCACGGTGAGTCAGGAGCACGGTTTTGAGACTAATTTTTTTTTTAAAGATTGTTCCCAACTTCCCCTCAGAGTCCGAGTGGACGTGATTGCGTTAATCTTTCTAGACCTGAGTTCTTCGGACTCAGCCATGTTCTTGCTTCTGTGCAGATGCTGCCGCTGTGGACATTTGCAGTGCTGCTGGGAGCGGTAGCTGGTAAGAAAAGATGTGTGTGGAGACGGGGGAGGCTCCCCTCGTGGTTCTTCCTGGAAGACCATGACAGCTGGCCCCAAGCCTCCATGAGGATGAGGCGTCGAGTGAGCTTGATGGAGTAAGAGCACAAGTACTTAGAGGTTTACGTTGCCAGATAAAGACCCCATGGCCTGTTCAAGTGGATCACAGAAACAACAAATATATCAGATGAGCATAGATGTGTAATATGTTCATTTTTTATTTTTTCTCAAAAATATTCGGATCAACATCTGGATTTTGACGTTAACATTTATGTACAAAGACCGACACTCCTAGCTTGTATTCAAGGAAGGGGCTCAAACACTCTTTCTGTCACCTGACTCCACGACCCTGAGAATAATCCATAATCCGTGCCCCCTCTGAGCTTCAGCGTCTTGATCTGTGAAATGCGAATAATGAAACCTCTCTCATGATGACAATGATGCTTAAGACAAAAAAGAATCATCTTGCCCAGCATCAGGTGCAGAGTAAGATTTAGAGACGCTAACTGCCTTCCCCCAGCCCCACAGCAGCTGTTACTCTATCATCAGTCTGGTCTTAATGTGGCTCCGGACCCCCTTCTTAGGCTAGCGAGCCAGCCTATAGCTGTGTTAAAATCCTAGACGTTTCGCTTGTGAGCGTTCCCTTCATCACAGGACCCAGGTTAGTCCTCAGACATTCAACTGAGGTGGAGATGCAAAGTTTGGCTCTTGCATGAAACTAAACGTCTCCCCTTAAGTACGAGGCCAAACGGTGGCTATTGCAAGTTGAAAACCAGCATACACACAGTGCCCACCAGGAACTGAGGTACAAGGCACCTCTGTTTCTGGGCATGAGCAGTCAAACAGTTGAGTTGAGCTGAGAAGCTGAAATGATGAGTCCCCGCTTGGGGCTAGGCAGAGACATGGGGGGAGCACTGTGGCCCCTGAGGGGACCTGCAGGCTGTCCGCAGCTGAGGCATTGTCCCTTTAGGCTGTTTCATGAGTGTGAGCAGGGTGGGTATTTGGGGAAGCAGAGGGAGAAAATCTGCCACAAGGTGGGATTTAGCACATATCGTGCCCGAGAGACTATTAAAAATGAGCATTCTGAGGTGGGCGGTGGTGGTGCACGCCTTTAATCCCAGCACTCGGGAGGCAGAGGCAGTCGAATCTCTGTGAGTTCGAGGGCGGGCTGGACGGACAGCCTCCAAAACAATACAGAGAAACCCTGTCTCGTAAAACCAGGAAAAAAAATGAGCATTCTGGCTACACTGACTCCTTGACGCACTGGGTGATTTTTTTTTTTTTAGGACGAGAAGTCTGCTATGACAGACTAGGCTGCTTCAGTGATGATTCCCCATATGGAGGAACTTTGGAAAGGCCTCTCAAAATGCTGCCCTGGTCTCCAAAAGTTGTCAACACCCGCTTCCTCCTGTACACTAACGAGAATCCCAACAATTACCAAGTAAGAGCACCCCTGGACCTTTAGCACTTAACCCCAGTTTTACGTAACGAGAACAGATTTTATTTGGGCATGTTTTATGTTTCCATAAGAGAAGACTACAGCGGACTGTTTGGAAGAAGGGACTCTGGGATCAAAGGGGGGGTAGACCCTCGAAGTCCCTGCCTGAGTGCTCTCACATTACATCACAGTATAGTGAGCGGCGCCACAGGCTGGGAAACTGTGTGAGGGATGAGGAAGGGCAGACAGAGTACCATCTCCTGAGGAAGCCCACTCCTGCGGTCACCACCACCCCACCCTCTTCTAGTGCTAACAATGATCTACTCATGAAGGCAGAGTCCTCATGACCTAATCACCCATTAACAGCCCTCATTCTCAACATCATGTCAGTGGTAACTGAATTTTCAACGTTTTTAGGGGGTGACATTAACACGTCAATAACTCCATCCCAGCTTCTCCAAATCTACACCCTTCTCCCAACACAACATAGCCCTTTGTCCCCAGTGCCCATCTTAACAAATCCCTGTGCTCTCTCCAGTCCCAAAGTTCAAAGTCTCCTCAAAACCAGATGTAGCTAAGGCCCAGAAATATCCCAGAAAAGAAAGAGTATCCACTTCCAAGTAGATACAAACCAAGCAGGGATAATAACATTAAACTCAAAAACAACCGTTTGCTTTACAAACAACCTCCAGAAGATTCTAGGGTAAGGGCTGGTTCCTCAAACCATACTCACTGCTTTGAGGGCTCAGTCCACACAGCTGCTCTCAGAGGCTTGAGCCTCACACCTACCTACAGGTCATCTGAGCTGCTGTTAACAGGCTGCCAGTTCTGAGGTCTCAGGGACTCCACCAGGCATTGCCCCAGTGGGGGTTTCCAGTAGGGTTCTACCTCATATCATAGTCTGTCTTTGTCCTCAGGGTATCCACAAATGGTTCTCTCATCTAGATGAAAGCTAATGCCTCCCAGGCCTGCCTGGGGTGAGGATTAACATGTATACAACCAAGATTTACTGAGTGTTTCCTCTGGAAGGGGGTGGCCTGAGTCACAAGAGCCCCAAGTGAACTCCCATTGTGACCTCTGAGACTTAAACACAGATTATATTAGCAAGACCATGGATAATGGTCCAGGTTTACCTCTTGTAGAGCTGTTTCTCTCGGGATTCTTGAGAGAAACCTGGCTTCCCCAAGTTGCAATCACCCTTTTGGAAGCCGTCACTGGGCACATGCTGCTCTGCTCCCCTAAAGCCAACTGTTCACTCTTTTAAATGCCCAGGCTGCATATTTTCCCAGTCTCTACGTTTTTGCTTCTCTTCTTGCTATAACTTATACCTTGAAATTACTTCTTTTCTTCTGCACACTCATTGCAGTGAAAAGTGTCCATGTAGAAGCCTGAATACTTTCCTTCCTTGGTATTTCATCTGCCAAATTATATATTGCTTTTAAGTTCTGTCTTTCATTAAAAAAATCCTAAAACATGAACACGATTCAGCTAAGTTCCTTGTGACTATAACATGAAGACAGACTTTTCGCCCATTTACAATGCACTTTCCATTTCTGTTTGATACCCTATGGAAGTGACCTTTCTGTCCACATTTCTATCAGCACACTGATCATAGCCACTTTAGCGGTCTCTAAAAAAACGTCGTATCTCCACCACAATCATTACCTTCTTTCAGGATGCTCACTAATACCAGCCCGGTGTTCTGCTTGTGTACAGTGTTCGCTGGTACTGTTCGGTGTCCCGTTGATGCTAAAATGGGGTTATTAAGAGTTTGCGTCTCTGTACTAAAGCAGCACCCACATTTTTTAGGTGTTTGCTATGACAACCCCACTCTGGGGACCAATTTTCTGTCTTAGTCATTTTTTGGAGAGGGAAGGAGAGTGGTTTAATAGTACCATTAATTTGGTAAACTATAAAATATATGCATTCATTTGGCTCAAATCCTGGAGTCTAGGAAATCCAAAATTCATTGTGCGAGCTGGTGAAAATCTTCCTGTTGCATCACAAAATAGAAGGAGAAGGAGAAAGAGGGAGGGAAGGAGGGGAGGGGAGGGGGGATGGAGCAAGGGGAGGGGAAGGAAAGGGAGTAGAGGGAGGGGAGGGGGTGGAGGGAGGGGAGTCAAAGGAAGGGAAGGGGAGGGGAGGCAGGGGAGTTGAGGGAAGGGAAGGGAGGAGAGGAAGGGAGGGAGGATGAGAGGGAGGGGAGGGGATTGTGGGAAGGGGAGGAAGGGGAAGGAAGGGAAGAGACAGAGAGGGGTGGGGCTGAGGTATACTTTTATCAAGAACTCCTTCCCACAGTAACTAAACAACCCTACAATGATCACCTTGATTCACAGCATCAGAGCTTTGTGGTTGGTTCCTAAAGGCCCCATCTCATCTGACCACCACAATGGCGAGAGAACATCGCGTGTTTAGAATGGGGTATTTACACCATATTAGAAAACACAATTCAAGCCTTCTGAGGGTGATTAGTCAGATGGTGAAATCTGCATCTTCACAGACTTCCCAGGAAAAGTCTATCTAGTCTACTCATATATAGCACATACACCGCTGTGTTATACACATATGTGAGTATATATACCACACACGCAAACACTTTCATTACATTCAGAAAAGCGCTTCACCACCAGTTTTATGGTTGGCTGTGCAATCTTAAAGCTGCACAATTTTAGTGTTGACTTTTAGGTCTTTCAGTAGTTTAGCTATAATGCGAGAATTCTTATTTCCAAGGATCTCAAATCCCAGTAGTTCCCTGCCTACCCACCCCCTGCAAGAAGAACATGACCTGAAATATTTTGGCAAACAGGTGATCACTGCAGATGCATCAAGCATCAGGAGCTCCAACTTCAAAACAAACAGAAAAACCCACTTCGTCATCCATGGGTTCACAGACAAGGGGGAAGACAGCTGGCTGTCCAGTATCTGCAAGGTGAGGGCGGGTCCCCTCCCAAAGGAGGGCGGTCGCAGAAGAAAATGGACCTGTGCCTAAGAGGGGTGTTGGTCACCTCAACCCAGGGATGCCTCTGAGGCCTGGTGAGCCCAGACTGTCGGGGGAGAGGGAGGGGCTGATGACCGATGCAGGGGCCCTGGGACAGTCAGGGCAGGGAGGTTGGTGGGTGGCCCAGGCAGGGACTCTTTGATAATGCATACAGGGACATTTGTGGCTTTAACAGGAGAAGCTGCCACACATCGGTTTCCCAGTTGACCACAGGAGCCATTTGATCTCTGGCCTCGAATTTCTGTATGAAGAGCCAGGGGACTCCATTCACACAATTTTTTTTTCTTTTGATCTTCAGTGGGTGCCCTGAGATCCTCCGGTAGCCATGTGTAGGAATACTGTGAGGGTTTCCATGTCTGGCTTTGATGGTTTTTGTGTAAATGACTCTGTTTTCCTTCGTCTGTCTCTGGCTTTGTTCCCAGTGATAATGGGCAGTGAAAAGAGACAACCAAACAGAGTTAAGTTTCCTTAGTGGGGAAGGAGCATTACTGTTGACTCGGGTGCTCACGGGTTCCAGTGGGCACGGCAGATGGTACTTTCCTGTGAAATAAATGCAGCGACGGACAACACAATATGCTGACCCAAGCCAGATTTGACTTCCAGCATGGCAAAGCTTGCTCTGATCCCTTTACTGTGTCTTCATATATGAGAGATCCTTTTTGGTTCTTATTGGGCACCACCGTGTGCCAAGAAGTGTTGTAGACACTGAGGACACAGCAGTGAGAGACACGGGCAGAGTCCTCTAGAGCTTTCTGGTAAGGCATAGTGGAGCTCTAAGACATGGCGATGCTCTAATAAGATGACTCACTATGCCATATCTATATTTTTAAAGTTAAAAAAGTCGCCGGGCAGTGGTGGTACATGCCTTTAATCCCAGCACTCGGGAGGCAGAGGCAGTCGGATCTCTGTGAGTTCGAGGCCGGGCTGGACCGACAGCCTCCAAAACAATACAGAGAAACCCTGTCTCGTAAAAACAAAAACAAAAGTCTATGCATCTGCTACAGTTGAAATGCCAAGAATGCCGTTCTGGGGGAGGGTGGGGTCAGCCATGCCTCAGTCTGGAGTCAGTGATAGTCTTGAGGAAGAATTCTATATCCATTACTGAGTTTTGGGTCATAACTTTTGGGTTAAAAGAAGTATGTGGACAGTATCGTTCAGGTCAAGTAGAGAGTTCACCTGGTCTTTAAACGTGTTAGTAACAAATCAAGGTCCTGGATTGTTTACATGCTCGTGTCCTTTCCTGCCAGAACATGTTCCAGGTGGAAAATGCAAACTGCATCTGCGTGGACTGGAAGGGCGGCTCCCGGACTGGATACACTCAGGCCACACAGAACGTGCAAATCGTAGGCGCAGAAATCGCCTACTTGGTGAAAGCCCTTCAGGTGAGTGCTTCCTGATCACAGAGAAGCCCACACCCACTGCTTCCTCAACTCTCTTGCCAAAAGAAAACTGTGAGCATTTTATATTCCAGCATATCCTGGCTGATACATAAAAACTGAACATACTTAATAAGCATCTCATAGTGTTTTCAACAATTTGTACTTTGTTGTGTTCAAATCAGGACAAATATGCATGGGTCTAAGGTGAAGTAGCCTGTTGCTATTCCTAGTTTCCGATATTTATTTACATTTTGTATTCTACACCTACCCCGGAGATTCTTAGCTGCTTATTACTTAATGCTCATTGATCAACAATTTCCCGCTTCTCTCTATCTTTATGCTTCCTAGCCTCTACTAATCACAATTCCACCCCTTGGTTTTTTTTACAAGATCAACTTCCTTTTGGTCCACAGGTTTGGTGAGATCATGTGGTACTTATCTTTCTATGCCTGATTTGACACGGGTCTGTCCATGTTCTTGCAAATGACAGAATCTCACCCTTGTCATGACCAAGTCATGTTCCACTGCACATGCATGCCATGTTTTCTGTGTTTATCCATCAATAATGGACGCTTAGGATGTTTCCAATTCTTGGCTGTTATGAACAATGCTGCATGAACATTAGGGGTGCAGAAGACTTTTTCCCATACTCAGCAGTACAGTTTGTTGGGTCATGAGATAATTCTATTTAACTTTTTGAGTTTCACAATGGCCGTGCAGTCAGCCTTCCTCGGTAGTATACTAGGGTTCTTTTTCTCCACACTCTTGACGGCATGTAGTATCTTCGGTATTTTTCCTGCTAGTTATTCCTACTGGAATCAGGTGATAGCTCACCCTGGTTTTGATTTGCTTTTGCTAATGACTTATGATGTAGAACGTTTTTTTTTTCCACATGCCTATTGCCTGTCTATCTTTTGAGAAATATCGATTTTGGCATATTGCCCATCTATGAAGTCAGATTATTCCCTTTTGCTATTGAACTATTTGAGCACCTTTTGTGCATTGGATATTATCTTCCTGTCAATTGTACAGTTTGTAAATATTGTCTCTCACTCAGTATGTCTCTTTTCACCAGGTGTCAAGAAGAGACTTTTAAAAGTGATATAACCCATTTGTCACTTTTGCTTTTGTTTTCTGTGATTTGGGGGCCTTGCCAATCTCATTTCATAACCTTGAACTCAGACCACTACCCTGGAGCAAGCATGACCACTGACAAAGACATCCCTATACTGAGATGGCCTTCCATCTAGTTGAAAACAATGATGCGAAGCAATCTAGATTTGGGTTCATCTATACTATAAACCTCCTTCTCAGAAAGTTGTGGGTACTTTTTGTTTTTATTTAGGAGAGTTTGAAGAAACTGTTTGGGTCATTTCTCGTGAGTTTTATTGGTTACTAGACACGATAATGTTGATAACAAGATTAAGCTAGCTATATATATATATATATATATATATATATATATATATATATATATTTAGAGAAGCACAAGGATTTGAAGCTAACCTGACTGGGTAGCCTAAAATGGAAAATGTTAAACTTGGATTTGATTTGATGGTTGCTTGCGTCATACGTTTCTAGTTCGATTCTTGTTTCATCATCTCTGGGTAGCGGCTATCATTCACTGCTTCTCCTTTTACCATGACAGAGCAAAAGACAGACCAACTTTTACCGGCTTAATAGTCTAGATCCATTTCTGGTTTCATTTGTAATTGTCTGAAAACTGAAAACAAGATTCTTTGAAAGGGCAGAATGTCTAAAATTTTAAGTTTAGAAAGGCTCTTTGTATGGGCCTGTCTTGAATTCTGCGATAGCTGAAAATGTGCTGAGAGACTGTTCTGTAGGGCAGCTTTTTCTAGACTGAGTCTACCCACTCCAGTTCTCTCTTGGCTTCTTAGGCTGTGTCTAGGAACCAAATTAAAATAAGAAAGATTAATGGGACCGGGTGTTGGTGGCGCATGCCTTTAATCCCAGCACTCGGGAGGCAGAGGCAGGCGGATCTCTGTGAGTTCGAGACCAGCCTGGACTACCAAGCGAGTTTCAGGACAGCCTTCAAAGCCACAAAGAAACCCTGTCTCGAAAAACCAAAAAAAAAAAAAAAAAAAAAGATTAATGGGAGGAACATCTGTAATTTTTATTAGTTTTTTTTTTTGCATGCACTTGGAGTCACAAGAGAAAAAGATTGAAACAGATGGTAAATGGTAGAAAACTTTCACGATTTTAAAGCAAAGCATGCAAATTTTTGTGAAGAAGTATCAAGACAGAAGGCTCTCGGGCAGGGGTGATAAGTTCTAGAACGGCAAGTTGAGAGCCACTGTAGCATGAATTCTGGGTCCCTGGTGATGAGCAGAACATCATCTCACAAGGGAGGCATCTTTCTCACAGGGGCGTTTACAGCTTGCTGTAGGAAAAAGTAGGGCAGCGTGGACTGCCCCCATGAACAAGGGCCTCAAATGTTTATGTCCAAGAGGCTCTGTGACTTCACAGATCAGTTCTGAGTCCATGACCTGAAGCTTCGTTTTCAGGATGTTTTGCTACTAAAGGCCAACTTGGCAGCTCTTTAGAGAGTTGAGTTCAAGGCTATGAAATGTGACTGGCAAAAAAAAAATGTGTGGAGGACATAGATTGGAACAGGGAGAAAAGAAGGAATTCTAGTGCATCCTCCCGCACCGAACTGATCTCTTGGCCCGAAGGACAGTCATATCAATTCAGAATTACAACCAAGCTTCTCTGGGGAGGTAGGGCTACAGGCAGACTGTCATTATCACTGGGTCTCTGTGTGGTGCCTACACAAAGATGGCAAGTAAATGGCATTTCCATGGAAACAAAATAAAAATAAAAGCTAATAGTAAGAGACGCACTGAAACTAGTTTCTGAGTTTGAAGGGTAGCCAGACAATAATTTTTTTAGGTACTGTTTTCAAAGTATCTCCGGTTGAAGCAAGAGTGGGCCGTAGAAACCCAATGGATTCAATTTCTAACTTAACTGCCACCCAGCTTCCTTTTCCAGGGCTTCGGGGAAAACACCCTTGGTTGATTTTCACGATCTCAAGTCAGAAAAGCAGGAGAAAACTGGAAATGTTAGCTTGTAGCTTGCAATCAAATATTAGAAGAAAATTAGATGATTCAGGATTTAGTAGTTTATGACTAAATAAAATCTTAAAAATAAACAAGCCAAAACATCACCCAACACTGAGCTAGAATGTAGTATCTGTTACAGGCTTTTCATCTAGGAGACAATTTTTTTTCTCCACAGGCTTTCCCTATTTATCAAAGAATCGGAGTGAGACTCATTTGTTGTCAAAACAAAATTAGTCTCATTATGCTTGGCTTGATTATTTGACAAATGCATGGGGAGCAGTGACTGGCTCTTTTATAAACTCTATTTATTGGGAATTTTTATGTGTGGGCATACTTTTTTGTTTTTTGTTTGATTGTTTGTTTTTTGCCTGCATGATGTCTGTGTACCACTTGCATGTGTGATCTCCTCAGAGGCCAGAAGTGAATGTTGGATCCCATGGGACAGGAGGTACAGATGGACAGGTGGTCATGGGTCGCCATGTTTGTTATGGGCATCTGGAAAAGCAGCCAGTGTTATTAACCACGGAGCGACCTCTTCAGGCCCTCATAGGAATTTTCAATAAGAAATCTTATATTAGACATTAAAAGCCTAATGAAACCCAGTGAAGCACCCAGTGCTAAAGTGTGCCTAATGAAGTCTTCTCTCTTCAAGGTTTGCCACCATAACTATAAGGTCCTGGGTTGTCCAGGACATGGCCTTTGATTCCCTATGAGGCTAGAAACACCGTAATGCACATATGTATTCAAGATTCCTGGGAGTTTTTCAGGGAGGAGTGGGCATTCTTGTAGAATCCATAAAAATCCAGCCTTAGTCCCTTCAAGTTGTCTGTCCATGTCAGGAAATATGCATTCTGGCTAAGGCCTTTGTCACAGAGCTGCTGTTACAAAGTGTACCCTGTTACAAGGATAGCAAATTCTTAATGAACTTACACAAATAACTATGTTACCATAGAAACAAAGATTTGCACAAAATAATTTCTGAACCATGGAGGGATCAGTTAGCAGAGAAAAAAATTAATGTTTCAATTGTTGTTCACATAGTATGCTTTATCAAAATTGCTAAAGGATATAGACAGCATTAAAAAATATTCAGTTAGAAAATCAAAGTGTGAAAAGCATCAGTAATGTTTCCAAAAGAAAGTCCTCTAAAAGTTATATTTCATCAGTCTCAGCCCATTTAAATCATCCGGTTTCCTGCTCAGCATGGAGGTAGACGTTCCTAGAGCAATCCAGCTCATCCGGATCCTCTTTGGAACTTTGGAAATTCTTGCAGAATACAACATGATCTTAAAGTTTCTCCATAAGCCTGCTTTGAAAAGGCACCCATCAGTGATTCTCTGTGAATTTCCAAAGCCCTCAGAGAAGAACTGGCATCACACGAGCAAATGCCTGTAGAGAAGTGTGCTCAGCCCGACAGTACGACTGCCTAAGAGACATGTCTTTCCAGGTGTGGGTGCAGGCAGAGGCAGGGGATAGAGACACAGGGAGGGGGGAAGAGAGAGGGAGAGAGGGAGCAGGAGTGACACCCAGAGGTAAGAGAGGCAGGAGAGAGACAGAGGGAGAGAGAGAGAGAGAGAGAGAGAGAGAGAGAGAGAGAGAGAGAGAGAGAAGGAGAGAGAGAGAGGGAGGGGGGAGGGAGGGAGAGAGAGAAAGAGAGGGAGGGAGGGAGGGAGAGAGAGAGAGGGAGAGAGACACAGATGGGAGAGAGAGGGAGAGGAAGAAAGAAACAGAGAAAGAGAGGGAGAGAGACATAGATGGGAGAGAGAGACAGAAGGAGAGAGAGAGAGAGAGAGAGAGAGAGAGAGAGAGAGAGAGAGACACACAGCAGAGAGACACAGTGGAGAGAGACACACAGAGGGGAGAGACACAGAGAGGGAGAGAGAGGGGAGGAGGGAGGGAGGGGAGGGAGGGAGGGAAGGAGTCACACACAGCAGAGAGACACAGAGGAGAGAGACACAGAGGAGAGGGGCAGGAGAGACACAGAGTGGCGGGTATCTCGGGTGACGTTCTGATTGCTTCCCTCCTCCACAGTCCAACTTTGGATACTCTCCCTCCAACGTTCACCTCATCGGCCACAGCCTGGGCTCCCATGTTGCTGGCGAGGCTGGAAAGAGGTTGAATGGGGCCATTGGACGAATTACAGGTTGGTCACCACCACAAAGTCTACAGCACTAGGACCACATGTGGCCTCTCTGTGGGATCCAAAACGAAGGCCAGGAGGGAGCTTGTCACACTTGAGTGGCATGATGGGAAGTCAGGCCCGCCGGGTGACTTTGCAATTGACGTTGACTCTTGGATTTACAGTATCCTCTTTAAAATTTATAGTTACTGCACCTAAAGTGAGGCTCAAGGATGAGAGGCATTGTTCCTTTATGTCCTCCACTCTCAGATCTTCACAAGAGATGAGGTCCACGAGCAGAATAAAAGTCACAAGCGATGACGTCTAGCCCATCGCTAAAATACACAGTTACCTGAATTCTGTCAGCTGCAAAGTCAGGGCTGCAGGGAAGGGAACCACCCATCTCATCTCTTCTGGGAGCTGCTAGCTGTATTTAAAGGGCCTTTTTGCACATGCTGACTATCCCAGGTAACCTCATGAGGAAGATGTTGGCCTGGATTCGAGGCACGGCCACTGCAGGGAACAGCCAGCTTCTTCCTCTGCCTTCCAAATTGTGTGTTGACCTGACAATTCTTTCTCTTTTTAAAACTCTGTGTGTGTGTGTGTGTGTGAGAGAGAGAGAGAGAGAGAGAGAGAGAGAGAGAGAGAGAGAGAGGGAGGGAGGGAGGGAGGGAGGGAGAGAGGGGGATCCATGTATGTTCAGAGACCAGATATGTTTGGTGTCTTCTCTCCCTCACCCCATAAGACAAGGTTTTATTTACATATCCTTGGCCAGCCTGGAAATTGCTAAATAGACCAGGTTGGTGGTGAGCACACAGAGATCTGCCTGCTTCTGTTGTCAGACTGCTGGGATTAAAGGCGTATACTACCATAATTTTGGAGGCAAGAGATCACCAATTGACTAGACTAGATGGCCGGTGAGCTCTGGGTATCCTTTGGCCTTTATACCCCTTGTGCTGAGGTTACAGAGGTTGAGGTGCTGACCCTAGCTTTTATGTGGGTATTGGGGAACCCAACTTATGCTCTTATGGCAAGGATTTTATCCAAGGAACCATCATCTCCTCAGCCCCTCTCATCTTTATACAATGGGAAAAGTTACATTGAATTGATGGGGGGTTATCTCAAATTTCTATCGATTAACCTGATGAGAAAAAAAGAAGTTCTTCCAAAATGTTCTTTCCTATTGCTTTGTGAGGAGTTATGTCATTCTGAGATCTTACTCTTCTGGGAGTTTGCAGTCCGTTGGGATCTCTCATCCTGAGAAGGTTTATAGTCCACTGCCTCTCAGGGTCACCCTCTTCTCTGCCACCGGTGGCCAGGATTCTCTCAGCGACCAAACATCCCTAGGTAGAGGCAAATTCACTTCCAAACAAACAGGAAACAACCTAGGAACACTTTTCTCTTCAGAAAGTGGTGGGCGAGGAAGTTGAGGTCTCTGTCTCCCATGGGTAATTTGGGAATACAGCCAGCGCTTGCACTCAGGTCTGAAACTAATGAAGAAAGAGGGATACACCTGACTACTGACTTAATTTATGACACAGATCGTTTGCCTTAGGTTTGGATCCAGCTGAGCCTTACTTTCAGAATACACCCGAAGTTGTCCGACTGGACCCCAGTGACGCCCAGTTTGTGGATGCCATTCATACCGATTCTGCCCCCATGGTCCCCAACATGGGTGAGTCCTAAAACATGCCGGGCCCACATGTTGGGCGTGCACTTTATATGAGTAAGAACGTCTTAAGGCATCAATAAGTAACATAAACTTTTCCTGTCCTTTAAACTTCTACAGGGCTAGGAATGAGCCAAACCGTGGGTCACTTAGACTTCTTCCCAAACGGAGGGAAAGAAATGCCTGGGTGCCAGAAGAATGCCCTCTCTCAGATTGTCGACATGGATGGGATCTGGGAAGGTAAAATCATCATGGAGACCAAGACTTTCACCGGGGAACCGACAGCTGTGCTCCGTGGTGTCAAACTTGGCTGATGCCGTACAGAATCTAATTGTATACAATAGGGGTTTCTAACCACATTCCCTTGGAGACAGGCTTCCACAGGGAACACATGGGCACCGGGGACCTTGAGAAATAGAGTTTATCAGTGGACATTTCAAAGGCCTAAACTAACTCAGGGGGCTGGAGCGGCTCAATGGTTGCAGACACGTGTTGGTCTTGGCAGAGTACCTGAGTTTACTTCCCAGCAACCATGCTACTGACATTCACAACCACCTGTAACTCCAGGTCCAGGGGAGGAGTATCCGTAACCTGTGACCTCACATACACACACACACTCACAGAGAGAGAGAGGGGGGGGTTTAAGGAGTAATAAAAATTGTATACATTTCTTAAAGGACCTAATTCAGGGAACGCATCACTAAACTGCACTTCTACTCAGACCAACCTTCCTCTTCTCCAGTTGCTTTCCCATTTCACCTAACATCACTCAATTATTTTAATCGTAAGCAGTCCTGCTGCTGCGCTTCAGATCACGCCTCATATCATGATTACACTTCATAGATGGTTTTATGTTGTGGCCATCAGGAGTTCACACCCATTAGAGAAGTCTATGCACAGCCTATATCCTCGTCACGGTGGTAATTTTTTAGAAAGATAAAAATCTGTCTGGCTTTGACAGGGAGCCGTGACTTTGTGGCCTGCAATCATCTAAGAAGTTACAAGTATTATACAGACAGCATCGTCAACCCAACTGGCTTCGCAGGGTTCTCTTGTGCCTCATACAGCGACTTCACTTCGGTAAGTAGCTGCCCTTTGAGGAAAGACCAGTGTGGCTCACTGGACGTGGCATCATTCTGCAGATGTCTGTGCTTTCATATTGTATCCACTCATAACAGTAGGGAAACACCTTAAATACAAAGTATCCAAGGACTCCAGGGAGTTCAGCTTGAAGACACAGTGTCCTGTGTCCTTGGCAGATGTGAACATTTGTTTTAGAAGCAATCCTGAATGAATAAAAAGGGCCCGCAGTCATCTGAGCTGTGTTGATAGGATGTGATGAACGTGGAAAATTACCTCTGACTCCTGACCTTTTAAATTGTGAAGTTGTGGCCTTGGGAAGATTCTGGTAATTCTCACGGTAGCTGATATGTCCTTGAGTCTTTCTTTTGCTTATTACCTTACACTGAGTTTAGATTCCAACATGTTCTAGGATGTGGCATGTCTGGTTTGCCTGGATGTTGCTTGTAAGATTGACTTTTCTTCCCACAATATTTTTTCAAATAAATATGTCTCTAACCTGGGTAATTTAATGAAGAAAATTTCAAGTGAGTGCATCAAGGCAGCCAAAATTACCAAGAGGTATGCCCTAGTGGTTGAAGAAGAGACTGAAATTCAGCTCTCACTTAAATAAATGAGCAACTCTAGAAAAAAATGAGTCACTCCTTCTAAAACATTCTTACATCTGTATATGCAAATAATAATGGCAATCTATACATATTTGAGAGGAAATGCTAATGAGATGATTTATTTTAATTACCCTAAAGCAAAAGGGGCGATAATTATTATCCAGTAAATGTTGGCTATTATGAGAAAATGGAAAGTATTCTAATTAACAAGTAAGATAAGACTATACAGTGACTGGAAACACTCTTCCAAGGATGGAGAAGAGAGAACACAAATAATGAAAGAAATAATGAAAGCTTCAGGCCTCACTGGTTAGTGCAGGGCCAGATCAATAGCATAAAGGACCTTTCAGAGGCCTCTTGGCACTTTTATAAAATGGTGTCTTGGTCTCACAGATATCTCTGCCTTGGACCTACTTGGTCTGCATCTAAGAGGTTGGTACCTAGTGGTGACTTGCCTGTGTGTGTTCTATATAGACAGTGACTTGGGTTACAGAGTAGTCCCTTGGTAGGTACATGGTCTCTTGGAGACTTTGGGTTCTGAGCCATATCTCTGTCTGTCTTGTTGAGGTTACACTCTTGGCAGTTCGAGATGGAGTCTAGCACCGCCTACTCTTCTGGTTCTGTAAATTCCCTCAGGGGCCATGCGTAGAGGCTCAGGTGATGTTGGGGGTAAACAGAAGGATGGAGGGAAAGGATGGGGGGTGGGTCGTTTGCTGCATATTCAAATAATGATTTCAAGAACATCTACTCCAGTAGACATCAGAGCGAGCCAATTGGAGCATGATCTCAGGGTCCCTGTGGAACTTTGTTGAATCACAAGATTGTTCATGACTAGAAGATAAATGGGCTTCTTCTGTCTCGCTGGTCTCACACAGGCCTGCTGAGACCAAATCCTGGGTCTAACCAGGATGCACTTCTCAGTAAATAACTTCCTTTCTGCACATCAGCAAGTTCAAAGCCATGGCTCACAGAACACAAGATGAAGACTGGGCCATAAATGGGGACACTACTGTCACCTTTCTTCCAAATGCGTTCCGCACTTCACGGAGGAACAGTCGCCCCTTGGCTCCTGACACGGAGCCCCTATCAGACCCATCATCTTGTCTTGATTCAGATTCTTCATGTGCCTGTCCTGTGAAGGTGCCTTCTGTGGAGGCGTGGAGGGGAGCGGGGTGCTTGTGTCCCCACAGACTGTTCCCTCTCCATCTTTTAGCCCAGGGAGGACATATTCTTGTGTCTTCTTCAGTCTCCAGACACCTGGCTAAGCGTTAATGGTTAACTCTAAGTTTTTTTTCTCTGCATGTCGGGGAGACTTCTACAATGTGACACTGCAGTCACACACACACACACACACACACACACAACACACAAACACAAACACACACACACACACACACTAAGTGAAAGCCACGGGAACTGAGAAAGTTGAGCGTCTCACCCTCTGAATGGAGCCCAGTTTGCCTATCAGTCGCTTGACTGTTACCTCCTACTCTTGCTTGTGCAACATTTACCAAAATAAACTCTAGTCTTTGAGGGTACAGCTCCTGCTCATCATGCTCCAAATCTTGAGTTCCAGGACAGAGGCTGGGGGTTGCATTTTTTGTGCAAATATGAATGGATGGTTTGTTGGTTGGTTGGATGGATGGATGAATGAATGAATGAATAAGCTCTAACAATTCTTTAGACAGATGGATGTCTTAGGGCAAGGACGCTAAGCTGGAGAAGGAGATAAATACACACAAGTCAGAATGCTTCCATTGTAACGAGCTGCTGGGCAAGACGGTTCACTCCTAAGGAAAGACTACCCCTCATTCATCGTCTGCTTTCCCTAGGACAAGTGCTTCCCCTGTCCGAGTGGAGGATGCCCACAGATGGGCCATTACGCTGACAGATACTCTAGGAAAACAAGTGGAGTCGGCCAGAAATTTTTTCTAAACACCGGGGATGCTAGCAATTTCGCTCGTGAGTTTCTACACTATTTACCTTGTATTCCAAGTACAAGATATTGTCTCATGTTCACTGATAACATTGTGAGGTTGATTTCTACGTGGAAGCTTTAAAGCATGGCTCTGCACCGTGGAAAGCTTTCACAAAGTAGTGGTCCAATCTGAGCAGCGGGGCAGAGCATACTGCCTGGGCTACTCATGAAGAAATAAACTTCTTCGCATTTTATCACGGAGCTGAATTCAGAAGGCTTCCTCTGCCCCATCCTCTTGTAGTCAGTCATAAGTTTTGTTGAACAGAATTTTGAGTAATCTCTGAGATGGCTGAGATGGTTGGAATTGACAGAACAGAGACATATGGGTCCTAAGACAGCAGGCCCATGGAAGGTGGGCATGGGGGTGTGTTGAATGGTGAGGTATAGGGACAGGCTGGTTTCTACTCTGGATAATGGAGAAAGAGAATTACTTGGATGGGTGTGAATGGGGTGAACAGTCCTATAAAAATTGAAGAAAAAAATTATTCTCCCTCCAGTTTGGCCTAGGCTAATGAATAGTTCACGACTGACTAGTACCAAAGAAACCTTTTTTTTATTGTCTAACTTGGTTTATTTCCAAGGTTAATGCAAAATGGAATTATAGAATTTAAAAATTAATTACAGATTCCTTACAAAAAATATGACAGGACTCTAAAGCTTGGTGATCAATAGAAATGAAGCAAAATTATCCATTGTACTATTTTCTGATGTCTTCTTAAGGTAGAGTTCTTAGAACACTGAACAATGAATTGCCACATTACTAAATTGAAAACCAAATATATTTCCTAGTCCTTTGACTTGAAAATGAAACTATCTATGAATTTTAGAAGTTTCTACATGACTCTCACTCATCATCAGGGCTGACCCCTAAATGGGAGAGGCTTGAGACTACGCCGTCAGTAAACTTGCTAATACTGTGTATAAATTTTCTAAAATTTTAATGCAGTAAGATCTAAATTAATCTGGTCTCACTGTGTCTCCTCTCCAACTGTTACACTGAATTTGCTCTTGAAGGCTGGAGGTACCAGGTGACTGTCACCCTGTCTGGACAGAAAGTCACAGGACACGTACTGATCTCCCTGTTTGGAAGTGGAGGGAACTCTAAGCAGTATGAAATTTTCAAGTGAGTAGAATATTATTCTGGTCTTCTTCACTGTTATAATACACTGCATAAGAGTTTGGATCTCCATAACCACATGGCAGTGTCATCACATGTAGCATGGAGGGAATATTTTTCATACTTACACCTTAACACATTTCAGAATTCTACTCTTATTTTTTTCTCTGCTCTATCTCAATAACCCCTTGTGTGTACTCTGATGGCTGACATCTGAGTTGTAAGCAGTAAATAATTCTTTCCCTTACAAAAAGCTGGGAAAAAAAGATGATACGATATCATGAATGAATTATATCCTGGGAGATAATTGTGTAAAATCCTGTTTCCAGTTTTATTACAATTAGAGTTGTCCCTGAAGTAATTATTGTCAAAAGCAAAAGCTACCACTTAGCATACATGTGTGAATGCATTTAACACAATGGAATGGCAAATGCCTATCAACCAACCCAACCCAAGAAGCAGTCTAGGCTTTTGGAAACTCATACACGTATATAAGCACAAGTGCATCACACGTGTGTTTATTTATGTATGTGTTTCTGTGTGCTACATAGTATTGTTGTCACCTTCTTCACTCCCCAGGGGCTCTCTCCAATCTGGAAAGACTCTTACCAGTGAGTTCGACTCTACTGTGGATGTCGGGGATCTGCAGAAGGTTAAATTTATTTGGTACAACAACGTGATCAACCCAACTCTACCCAAAGTGGGGGCATCAAGGGTCGCAGTGGAAAGAAACGATGGTAGAGTGTAAGTAATAAGAAGCAGGGGTGGCGAAGGGTCAAGGAGCATTTGTCATTCTCCTCTAACATTTTCTTTGAGGCTACATCTCCTATAGAGTCTCATGCCCCAGCAAGGTCTCCATCCTAAGACCTCATGTGTCTTTAGGAGACTGTGTCAAATATGAGGAATGCCACTTTGGTAGATTCTTAGATGAGGGAGAATGTTTTCTTTACCAGACAGGCTTAGACTATGTGTGTGTGTGTGTGTGTGTGTGTGTGTGTGTGTGTGTGTGTGTGTGTGTTACCCCCTAAACTTCATGGGTTTACCAAACTGCCATGTAGGTTGTTGGGAACTCCTTAATTTATCAAAGAACAGAAATATACCTCAGGCTCTCAAAGTTTATGTCAGAAAGCTAAGGGTCCAAAGGAACAAGGCAACTAGATTTCAAAGCACAGCCTGCTAGAGAGGTATAGAGAGAAGATGGTCTAGAAAGTTTAGGAAAAGGTCCAGAAAGTTCCCTCAAATATTTAACATAGTCATAATAAACACATATATGTAAGTAAACCAGCCATGTCCAGGGAAAAAGCCATTTGGAAAGTTAGAAGAGGCAGTGCTGTGTTTTCTCCAGCAATGGGACCGTGTCTAGTCCCATCAGGCAGACTGCAATCACCTATCATCATGCTGACATTGGAGAGAGCACTTTCGAAGGACCCCTATCATGGTGTGGAATGAATTACCTAGACTGAGCAGGATTTGACATGAGCAGATTCTTTCCAACCAACTGGATCTCAGAACAAACAGATTTGTAGAGACATAAAATTATCCATCGGTGAACATCTTAACAGCCACACGTGGAAATGTGACTCAAGGATTAACAACTCCACAAAGAGACCAGATAATGTAATTTAAGAGGAAAAGACCAGTTAGAGTTGACACTGATGCTAGACAACGTATAATAACACTCAGAAGTTATCACACTTCCATTTCACCTTATTCAACAAGGTTAGAATAAACACAGCAGATATTCAAAAAGGCTAAAGTTGAATTTCTGCAGACTAAAAATACAACGTCTCAGTTAAAATACAATGGATAGCTTAGAAACTGAGTAAGAAATTCATAAAGGCCAAATACAAGCTATAAAAATGATACAAAGGAAACTATTTCTAAACTGCAAACAGTATCATGACCTACTAGAAAATGCAAGACCGATAATGTAGTTGTTTTTGAAGACCAGATAGGCAAGAGGGACAGAAAAATCTATCTGGCAAAGTAATGTCTCCAAAACTGTACAAAGTTTTGAAAAACTATAACCCAGCAGATCCAGAGGACACAGCTAGCATGAATCTGAACCAAACCATTCAAAGCCGGTTCTAAGGGGGGAAACTCATGAAAGCTGCCAGAGGGAAGGACGCAGCACAGACCAGCAGAGACAAACGCCACAGCCAGCTCTCTCAGAAGAGGCGTCTTCGCTGCTCTGAAGAGAAGCCACCTTCATTCTGATGTCCGTTCTGCTGCTATGATGAAGCATTCCCACCAAAAGTAATTTACAGGAAGAACTGGTTTATCTGCTACACACTGTCACTCGGCCCATCTCTGAGGGAAGTCCAGCAAGGAATTCAAGCAGCAGTGTGGAGACACCTTTCTTGTAAAGCCCAGGACTACCTCCCAGGGAATGGTGTAGCCCACAATGAGCTCGGCCCTCATATTCATAGTAATGATGTTCCCCTCCATAGATATGTCCACAGACCGACCTGATAGAGAATTTCTCAACTGAGACTCTTTTTTTCCCAGATAATTCTAGGCTATGCTAAATTCACAGTTAATGCTAAGTAGAACACATATCCCTTAACTTAGGATTTGCACCCACACAAATACTTTTCAAAGATGAGCGTGAACTACTTTCAAAAGTACCAACTTTTTGTTTAGTTTTGCTTTTTGAGACAGGGTTTCTCTGTGGCTTTGGAGGCTGTTCTGGAACTAGCTCTTATAGACCAGGCTGGTCTCAAACTCACAGAGACCTGCCTGCCTCTGCCTCCCAAGTGCTGGGACTTAAGGCGTGCGCCACCACCACCACCCGGCTAAGTACCAACATTTAGACAGTTCTTCACCGGCCAGTAAGTACTGCACAGAATGCTACAGAACCTCCCAACACATTATTCTAGCAGGAAATGAATCTTCAGAAAGGAACCATGAACACCACATAAAAAAGTAATTATTTTGAAAACGTATGATATTTTAGGCACTCTTTAAATCCCTTTAAAGCAATGACTATTGAGAAATAATAATAATATTTACGGGTTTGTATGATAGACATAAGCAAAGTGTATTCTAACAATGCCACATAGGGCAGGAAAAGACAGATGGAAATACGATCTTGGAGGGTCATCATCTTGTAGGTGAACTGCTATAATATCATTTGGAGGTTTACTATGGTAAGTTAAAAAATGTGTGTGTTGTTAATTCTAAAGCAGCCAGTAAATCAACAAATTGGGGAGAAAGAGGACAAAAGATTTCAAAGTATTACATGAAGGGGGTGAGGAGAAAAGCAAAGGTTATAGAGTAACAGCAAACACTGAAAGGAAATGCTACAACCACTTTGGAAGTCAGGTTGGCAACTCCTTAAAAGCCAAGCATACGTCAACCTGCAATGTAGTCATATGACTGTCAGGTTCGTTAGACTTCTCCTCATTTGAAAATATTAAATGTAAATTCCAGAGATCAAAAACACCTATCATTGTAAACTGTATGTGCTTCTGAATCATATAATGAGAGCTCGCACTGCCCCCACTTCATCCCAGTGCAGGAACTGCCAGCTGTTTGGGTGTGCCCATGGGCATCCACTACCCACTCACGTTAGTTACTAAGTAGCCCTCGCGCTCATCAGATTGTCTGTTGTGCTACAGACTTGGACTCAAGTTTTCATTGCTTTGCTTAATAGTTAAAGCTCCAGAAGAGGCCTGGATGTTATCACTCTAATTACTTACTGCAAATATATGTATTTATATGTGGGGGGGCATGTGTGTGTCATGGTGCATGTGGAATTTGGAGGATAACATACAGGATTCTGTGATTCTGTTCTTTCCTTCTATCATGTGGGTCCCAGAGCTCAAACTTGGGCTGTCAGGGTTAGCAGCAAGTGTGTTTACCCACCACATCATCTTCTAGCCTCTAAATTTATTGCTTATTGCTTTTTAAATGTATTTTAATTTTATACGTCTGAGTGTTGCGTGTGCGTATGTGCATGCCTGGACCTGTGGAAGCCAGAAGAGGGAGTCGGATCTCTTGAAATAGGAAATAGGAATCGCCGATGGCTGTGAGCTGCTGTATGGGTTCTGGGAATCAAACCCTGGTCCTCCTGCAGGAGTATCAAGTGCTCTTAACTGCTGAGCCATCTTGGCAGCCCTTTAAAAACAATGTAGCTTTTATTTCTAAGCTATTCCTCCTGCCTACTCACTCTACCTGGTCTCTTTTCTCCCTCAAAATAGTCCCCACGTCTGCTTTTGTAACACAGAGTCCACTGGGGAAACAATTTAAGTGTTCAGAACTGATTCTAAGGTCAGCTAGTGCTCGATAGAGCTATTGTCATAAGCATTGCCTGCCTCTGAGGCAATTCCCGCAGTTATCCCCACTTTACAGATAACCACCCACAAGTCCGATGCCAGAATCTGCATGATGTGTCACTCCAGCCAGCTCATTAAATGGCAACCAAACTACAACACTTCCGTACATCTAGATTTACTCACATAGAGATATCATGTAGCCTTCACTAATATTAGTCCTTAACCTTCACCCTGACATTTGCAAAGCCGTCAGACCATGGGGGCAAAATGAAGAGAACAAGGGGGATTTTCTGAAACACTTTTTATAGGCCACGCACTTTACACATGCTAATGTGTTTTATTAGAGTAAATTAAATCTAAAAGGTAACAAGTATTATTTGCAGAGAAATCCAGTTATTGCAGTTCAACGTTGAATTAAAATAAGAACGGCGAGCTAGCATAGGACCTATGGGTTTTGTGTGCTGGTCTCTGTTTGTGCTCACTTGGCTTTGGTTGGTCGAGTGTTCAGGAACTATTTGACAGATCAGACAAGAGAGCTCTTCCTGACTTTAGGGAATCCAATGGTAGAGTCTTTTTTTTTTCTACTTGTATAACTGTAAGACAAACTTGGATGGGAGAATTCTAGACTTCAAAAGTTGGGACTGACCCAGACCCCCTGAATGTGGGTGTCAGTGAGGAGGCCTAGGCAATCTATGGGGCTTGGGGTAGTAGATCAGTATTTATCCCTGGTGTACAAAAGGACTCTGGGTGTCCATCCCACAATGAGGGATGCTCTCAGTCTGCCCTGCCCTGGATGAAATGACAGACTCTGGAGATCCACCATGGAGGGCCTCACCCTCCCTGGGGAACGGAGTGAGGATTGGGTAGGTGGGTAGGGGCTCAGGGGGGAGGGGACTAGTTGGGGCGGGGGAGCAGGCAAGGAGAGGAGGGAGAGGGAGCTGGGACTGACATGTGAAACAAGCTTGTTTCTAACACATTTATATAAAATAAAAAGGAAAAAAACAGTCAGTGGCCATCTGGGAAGGTTAGTGACCTTCTGGCATTTTCTCTCCCCAGGTTCAACTTCTGCAGTTCTGACACTGTGAGGGAGGACGTCCTACTCACTCTGGCATCGTGTTAAGAACCTGTTGACAAGGGGACCACGGCGGCACCAAGCTGCTAATAAAATCTAGCAGTGAAGCTATCCTGCAGTTGGAAGGTTTTTTTTTTTTTCTCTGTCTCACTGGACCAGTTTTTTTCCCACTGGCCGGGTCCTCGCAGCTGCTTATGAAATAATCACACCAAAGCTAATATTATTAAATTATAATTGTTTGGTCAATGGCTCAGCTTCTTACTGGCTAGCTCTACCAGTTTTAGTTTTAACTCATTAGCATAAGTTTTAACTCGTTTCTAATATTCTATATTCTACCATGAGGCTCCTGGCTTGTACCTCACATCCTGCTTCCCTGGTGGCTACATGGCGCCTCCCTGACTCCGCCTTCCTTCTCTGCATCTGTCTTTGTTTGGATTTCCTGTTGAGCTATATTTTCCCCCCGCCCACCGGCTGAAACAGCTTTTTTCATCAACCAACACAAGCAACGCATGTTCGCAGCATACGGAAGGAGCCTCCCACATCATAATCCATTACGTCTTTTGTTGTCGGTTCCCTTACGCACAAGGAAACTTTTTTTTTCTTTTTTTGGTTTTTACGAGACAGGGTTTCTCTGTATTGTTTTGGAGGCTTTTCGGTCCAGCCTGGCCTTGAACTCACACAGATCCGCCTGCCTCTGCCTCCCAAGTGCTGGGATTAAAGGCGTGCACCACCACTGCCTAGCAGGAAACTTTTTAATGTGGTAGCTGAAAATCCCAAATCTTCAGCTGGTGCGACTGCACGCTACGGTTACTTCTTGATACATATCATGTGGTAGTCGCACTTGGGAATATTACGTACATGGCGACTTATCACAGTGTCCACTTAATATTACTGATGCCGTTCTGGTCACTGAGGGCAGACTTCCGGGATGGAAGGATCCGGTCTTGGCAGGGCCATGGGGAATCTAGCCTCTGTACCCATCATCTTCCCGGTCAGACACCCCATGCATGATGGCAGGGTAGGCAGTGAGGAGGAGGCATAGGCCGCTCCCTAACTGGTCACCATACACACCTCATTCCCAGGGGCTTTCCCCAGTCGGCTGACTCTCCGCAGGCCACAGGATCTTCCTGAAAGGTAAAGATTTGTGCCATTTGAAGAGAAACATGGGTCACCTGCTTCATCACCCTAAAGCACAAACCATCCGCCCCTCAGTGTGACAGGCTAGTCTGTAGTCACCTGATGCTTCAGAGTGTAATTTTCAACATGGATCTTGCTAGGCTGTGTTTCTTTTGTCCAAGACTTTATAGATCTCCAATGCAAGAGAGTATATGGGATCCTTCCCGCTCCTCCCAGAGTGGAGTCACGGAGGACAGGTGACTGCCCAATCTGCATTGTCCTTTCCCCAAACTACTCCTTATATTCAAAGTGTTTTAGCTTCTTTCTAAATACCCTGTGCATTGGCTACTCATTTAACTCAGATACTATCCTGTAAGCTAACTCTGTTTATGGGTACCATTTCCAGATGAAACAATTGAAGCAGAGCCAAGCTGTTTAACTCAGGGATGATCCCTGGACGCTTTTCTCAAAGTGGATCTACTTTTCTCAAAGTCCGTTTGGAGGCCTGTTTATTCTCATGAAGCAGAGTTGGGGTTTAACGAAAAGATTTTACTATAGGTTTAAACGTCAGAGCTAAGAGAACGAGGGGGCACTCAGAAGAAAAAGCAACACACATCCATGAGTAAATCCAAGTGTGGTACAACCTCCATAACCTAGAACCACAGGCCGTTGTTTTTCAGGGAAGTCATACATAGGAGTGCTTCAAAGACTTGCTGAGGAATTTAAGTGCAATCATGGGTAGAGTGGATCCTTGGGGCGTGTCTCACAAGATCACAGCTGACCAGGTGAATTTGAATTACAGGGCTGCTAGAATGTAGGTTATCTTTACAGTGTTGTATGTTTTAATTATTATATTATAATTATTATATAACTATATATAATTATAAGTAGATATAATTATAAATAAAATAATAAAATATTAATTTTATAATAATAATAAATAATAAAATAATAAATAAAATATAAATAAATATATATTAAGTGTATGTATATGTGTATGTACTTAAGTGCATGAATGTGTAGCACATGCATGCAGTGCCCATAGAGGCCAGAAGAGGGCATCTGATCCCTTGGAACTAGAGTTACAGACACCCAACAAGGGTGCTGGGTGCATGGGTGCTGGGGACTGAGAACCCAGTTCTCTGCTGCGAGAGCAGCAAGTGCTTTTAGCTGCTGGCTCCTCCTTCCATCCCAAGCATAGATCTCTATATTAATATTTCACTTAAAATCTTTAAAAGTATTAGGAATAAGCGTTCTAAGTGAGACTTGAAGATAAAGTCTGGGAAGAGGAATGGGGTCACACTCAAGGCCAAATGCTTCCTGGCCTGAAGGCAAATGCATTGTTATTTTAACATAAAATGTCTAAGTATGAGATGAATGTGAACTCTGGGCAGGAAGCCTTTTACAGTAAAGGTTAACTGTTCTGGAATTCCTGCCTCTGGTAGAAGACCTGCTACCAAACTCCATGGTGAGGGGCTCCTTTCTTCTCATGTTCCACAATTTCCCAGTCTCTCTATGCTGCTTCAATGCACCCCCCCAACCCTTTTAAGACTTTGATTTCTTTGAACAGGAGCATATATCCTACTGATCAAAGGCAAACACAGAGTAATATCAAATCTCAAATCAGTAACCATAGAGCAAGGAAGGTGTGGAATGATACATCTTAAACCCTAAAGTAAATAAGTAGGAAACAAAGTATCTTTAAAAACTGTGAGGCCTGGCGTTGGTGGCACACACCTTTAATCCCAGCACTCGGGAGGCAGAGACGGGTGGATCTCTGTGAGTTCGAGGCCATCCTGGTCTACAAAGCGAGATCCAGGACAGCTTCCAAGACAATACAGAGAAACCCTGTCTCGAAAAACCAAAAAAAAAAAAAAAAAAAAAAACTGTGAAAAGAACAAACCAAACCCCCAAAGCAATAGATGCAAAAATCAGGCCTTACTCTTCCCAGAGCTGCCAGGCCTCCCACTGAGAAAGATAAAGCAGACAGATTTCAGTGGAGAAACAAACTCAAGCTACTATGTGGCTGTTACTGACTAAAAGGTTGCTTTTTGCTATTCCTTTACTGAAAAGGAACTTGCCTTTCAGTCACAGCTCAGTAGCCAAGCACCTCTGTCACGTAGCAAATGATTGAATGTTTTCAGGACAAAAAGGTAGAAGTTTACAGTCGGTGTCAGTTGTGAAGGTCTAAGAAAATGATTTAAGGTATGTGAAAGTAAGACCTAGAAATGATAAAAACTTCCAAGTTCACTCAAGGGAGTTCTGATGAGTGATTGTTTTAATCTGGTCTTGGTAACAGAAACAGTGACCACTAAAGTTTTTTTTTTAATAAATAAAGTTTCTATTAACACAGGCTCGAAATTTTTAACCTTCCTTTGGTTGTTTAGTAAACACAAATTTAAAAGTGTTTGTCATTGCCCTGAAACATCTCTGTGCACACCGTAGCTATGCATTCCTCTATCCAAGAGGAAAGGACGTTGGCTTCTCCCCTAGAACCATCTTCTGGGTCCTCAGCCTCCTCTTCCCCTGTTCTCTTTCCTGCCAGGAAGCTCATTTCTTCTTACTGATAAATGTTCATGCTTCCTCATGTTGACAACTTTTCAGGCTTTACTGCAATATAACAATTATACACAGTGACATCACTATGCTGCACTATGACATCACTATTATCTAATGTGACATCACTATAGTACATTACGACATCAAGATTATACATTGTGACATCACTATTCTGCACTGTGACATCACAATAATACACTGTGAAATCACTATGCTGTACTATGACATACATCATGATATCATTATACTGCGCTATGACAATACAATTATCCATATTTAGATCACAATAGTGCAATATGACATCACAATTATACATCGTGACATCACTATATTGCAATATAACAATTATACACTGTGACGTCACAATACTGCACGATAATGTCACAAGTATACACTGTGACATCACAATACTGCAATATGACATCATAATTATACACTGTGACATCACTATATTGCAATATGACATCACAATTATACACTGTGACATCACTACACTGCACTATGACATCAAAATTACAGTGTGACATCACTATAGTGCACTATGACATCACAATTATACACTATAGTGTACTATGACATCACAACTGTACATTGTGGCATCACTATTCTGCACTATGAAACACAATTATACATTGTGACATCACTATACTGCATGTGATATCACAATTATACAATGTGACGTCACTATGATGCACTATGACATCACAATTATACATTGTGACATCACTATAGTGAACTATGACATCACAATTGTACACTGTGACATCACTATACTGCCTGTGATATCACAATTAAATACTGTGACATCACTATAGTGCACCATGGCATCACAATTATACATTGTGACATCACTATGCTGCACTGTGACATCACGATTATACCTATAGCTTGTGATATCACTATAGTGCAATATGACATCAAAATTATACATCGTGACATCACTATACTGCACTATAATAATTATACACTGTGACATCACTACACTGCACTGTGACATCACAATTATACGCTGTGAAATCACTATACTGCACTATAATAATTATACACTGTGACATCACTATAGTGCACTATGACATCACAATTATACGCTGTGAAATCACTATACTGTACTATAATAATTATACACTGTGACATCACTATAGTGCACTATGACATCACAATTATCCATTGTGACATCACTATAGTGCATTGTGACATCACAGTTATCCACTGTGACATCACTATAGTGCACTATAACATCACAATTATACACTGTGACATCACTATAGTGCACTATGACATCACGATTATACCTTGTGATATCACTATAGTGCAATATAACATCAAAATCATACATTGTGATATCACTATACTACACTATAATAATTATACACTGTGGCATCACTATACTACACAACAACATCACAATTATCCACTGTGACATTATGATACTGCACTATAACATCACAATTATACACTGTGACATCACAATAATACAATATGACATCAAAATTATACACTGTGATATCACTATTGGGCACTATGACATAGCAATTATACATCATGATGTCACTATACTGCACTATAACAAC